TACTATACTATATATATATATATATATATAACATAGAGAGAAAGGTGAAATTTTTTGAAGGTTACGAACTCTCAACAAATTTTGACCACTCTCTCTCTCCATATATGTATTAGCTTTGTATTTATTTTTCTGTATCTACTTACGATACCTGGACTGTGCACTGACAAACGTGTTACGACGAGAATCTATCATTTGAAGGAAGAGAACGGGTGGTTTGGTCGGTGCTAAACATCACTAACGCATATATCGTCACATAATTGTACCTGTACATCTAGCTGTCATTTTTATTAATCTTTCCTGTAATCCTTCTTTATCAGCTCAGCCAACTAGTTATTTTTACCAATATTTTTATATAACATAGTATAAGCTGGAGAATAAAGCTCGACAGAAAGTATGGGGGCTTTTAAAGTTAAACTTCGAGATTACGGATATTCCAGAAAAAGTAAAATAACATACGACTTTAATTCTTTTTTATTGGCATTTTATTTGTAAGATGTTATCAAGGAAGCATGTGAAACGCTTTGAGCATACTTCAAACTGAAGCGTAGAGAGTTAAAAGGGAAATAATCTAAAACAATAGAATACACTCGAATTTTGAATTACTAACCTTTTGATTAGTCTGGACGAGGTTATAATGACAATCACAATCATATACAATAAAGTGGTAAAAAAACCACCATTTAGCTTGTTATAAATAATTAAGTCTGTAATAATATTATAATAACCATGGTTAGAAATAGGCAGTATTCACACTAGTTCGTTTCAAGTGGTTTCAATTCAGTTCATTTGCTTTGATGAATGTGCTGGTTGTCTTGTGTATTAACGTGCTGAGATCGTTTGAAAATGAACTGGAATTTATTTTCACAGTTCATTTTCGTGTTTTGGCAACTTTTAACTTTTTCTAGCAAAACAAACTCAGTTCTTTTACCAAACTGACCGAAACCACCTCTTTTGATGGATTCGGTTCGTTTGCCAATTGATTGTTTGTTTGTTTTGAATTTCGCGCAAAGCTACACGAGGGCTATCTGCGCTAGCCGTCCCTAATTTAGCAGTGTAAGACTAGAGGGAAGGCAGCTAGTCATCACCACCCACCGCTAACTCTTTAACAACGAATAGTGGGATTGACCGTCACATTATAACGCCCCCACGGCTGAAAGGGCGAGCATGTTTGGTGGGAGGGGGATGCGAACCCGCGACCCGCAGATTGCGAGTCGAGCGTCTTAACCACCTGGCCATGCCGGGCCTTGCCAATTGAGCTTTGTTGTTCGCACTGTTCTTCAAATAAACTGAACCATACTTAGTACCAGAAAGGTCAACCGTCAACAGGCCCATGATTGTTAGCAAAATGCTTTTAAAGAACTAAATAAGGTTCATCCCTCTACGAGAGCAAAATTTCACCATGGAATTCAAAAACATTAAAGAAAATACACTTGTAGTTACTCTTCTAAACAGTAACAAAATACTTCAGAGTTGAAATTTATATAATAACAAAATTTATTTATTTAATTTTATACATAAAAAATGTTATTCGCAAGTTTTCATTTTGGGATGATTTCAGCGCTTCTAAACGAAACAATTTGCATTTCTTGATTTTTTCTGAGTATAATACGACACTACTAACCAGTTAGAAAGAAAATCGAAATAGTTTTTAACAAAATAGCGCTAATTTGAACCGCGTAACTTCGATACAAGTACAATTTTATCGATCTTAGACAATCACTGTTCCTCAATCTCCATTGGTATAAATACGCGGGCGTCACTTTTTGAATATAAAAATGCCGAGTACATTCAAGTCTGCAGAAAACTTAAAAGAGTATAATTTCCAAATAATTCAATGGATTCAAATAAGCGTGAAATAAAAGCATTGCCTAGTGTCATACTGCAGTAATTACAAAAGCATCTGTACTATTATTCTGTTTGTTTGTAT